GTTATCTGTATATATTTTTCTCTTTTATTTTTATTCATGTTCTACTTGAACATTTCTTCAAGAACATGACGCAACCAACGTTTTGAGCTTTCCTCAATCATACGGATTCTCATCATGCTGCTACATAGTCATGATGCATTAAACATTTCACCCTTTTGCACCATATTCCAGAAGAAAAACAGGGTGAAACATCATGCAATGACTAGATGATTCAGTTCTTCACAGAATTATTACTTTAATTTATTCAAGCCAACATAGGAACAAAGTAATAAAAATAAAGATATAATAAAAGATATGAATATCAAAAAAGAACTGTAAACATGCTGTTCAAAAAAGCAAAGAGGGGACGATTGGGCTTCTCGCTTTCAGTTCTGCTAATATCAAAGATCCCATATAGAGAATTGAGATATTGAAGTAATTTTCAGTTCTATCAACATCAAAGCATTTATCGTGAAAATCAGTTATGTGCAGAATTTCAACTAAGTCATACCCGTTCCTCGAAAAATTCAACCGCTTGCTACAAGCAAGATCATCCAAAATATTACTTCGCGTTTTGCATGCTCTAACAACCCTTTTTAGGCTCGGTTACATCTCGTTTCTACTCGGACTTTTCTTCGAGAACATGATGTAATCAAGTTTTGGCATAGACAATACCTATTTCCTGTTCAAGGTATCAACGTCTTAGGTCGAAGCATGCTGGAAAGCACATGGTTCACGGTCACGAAAGCACTACCAATTATATGGTTCCATTAGACAACGGAGGTAGCGTCAATTATGGGGAAACAAACATCTGACTCTCTACTCAATTTTTCTGTTTGAGCTTAGAAGGGCAACTGTAGAACGTACATTCAAATGGACCGGCTGTTAGAAAGCCGCAACCTTTGAGTGTACTGAAGTCAACAAACAGCACACGTTTAGGAAAAATGTGAAAATCTTAGTATCTATTAAAGATTTAGATCTGAACACTCTCGAAGTTAATTTAGAGTTAACTCTAAAAAGTTTGTAGTGTGAACGAGGTCCAAGAATATGTTCGGTTCGCCACTGACATACGGCTATCGACTGTTGTGATATTTAGTCTTTTTCTTCTTAGTGAATGCACGCGCTATTTGCACGTGTGCATTTCTCTTGCTTCCTTGTCTATACTTTTTCTGTAATACGGGATAGTGAGTGGATAGAGGAAAACACTAAACTGACGGAGCAGATGCTCCATTTTAAGGAATAGAGGCTTAGGGGCAAATATTTGAATGGAATGGTCTCGTTGTCGATAATAATGAATTGTTGGATCCACTTTGATTTGTTCGCAAACAATATCTATGCATAAATCGGTACAGCGTCATTAACCCGAACGAGATTACCGCGAACGACGTTACTGCGAATACAAAAAACGACATTACCGCGAAGACTCGTTTATTGGAAAAGACGAATAAAACGGCCGGTTTTGTATTTTGTGCATCATGTTTTCAAACTTTACGGAGGTTATGTGGTGACTAGTCATTATCTGATACAGTCACAGATATCTAGGTTCGCACCATGAAATTACGTTTTGTATGAAACTACTTTCCGAACTCACTCTCACAATGCCCTCCACCCCACCCGCCTCCCGCGACATGATATACAAAATACAAAACCAGGCTCATTTACTCTTCTTTTCCAATAAACAGGTCTTCGCGGTAACGTCGTTCGCGATAATGGCGTTTTCTGTATTCGCGAGAGTGTCGTTCTCGGTAAAGTCGTTCGCGGTAATGTCGTATCACGCATAAATCTGTCTATTGCATCTTAAATGATTTAACCATGATAGACGTCTCCTAGAACGGAGTAGCATTTTAAAGTAGAGCACTAGTCTGCACGATATTTTCCCGAGATCCTCTCAAAGATTATTGCTCAAAAAAATCGATTAAGTTGTCAGATAACCCCTGTTACCTTAAGGTATATACAGTGACGTTTTTCCATACATTCCAATCCTCTTTTTCTTTTGATCATAACTCGGTAACGAGAAAAGCTTTTGATAAGCGGTTTCCACAAAAATATTGTCCGCTCTCTCTAGTGTCTTTGTAGATAAATTAGTTAGAAATGTTCATTGGTGCTCTTTGTGGGCCCATTAGACGGAAAAGTGATCTGTTTCAGGTTCAAAAAAAGTTTTCGTACAGTTGACAAAAATCTATTTTTACGTTGTTTAAGTACGGATTAAATATAAAAGCTACATCAGTCGGTAGTGCAGGGTGATTTGGACTTTTTAAATTCAGGAGCAAAAACGAGTTTTCACCGGTCATATACGAATATGACAGCGGTTTTTACTCAGCGTCAAAAACTGCATTTAGTGATGTGTTACTCGAAGTTTACCAAAACGTTTCCATACGCAAAAAGTTTCTTTTGGCAAAAATGGTTTTGTTCCTTGTCACATGTTTAGTGAGTGAAACGCTTCCAGGCGTTAGTTTTAAATGAAAGCAAAAGTTTCGGTGTAGAGAGAGAGCAACAATGAACATTTCTAATCTTCTTTTTCTATCAAGACACTAGAGAGAGCGGACAATTTTAGTGAGAGCGGATGTACTTTAATAATTGATTTTATTTAAAATAAATTTATTACAGTGCTTGTCTATAATGGAACAAAAAAAATGAAAGAACCAAAAGCTAGAAAATAAAAAAGGTCAAACGAAGTAAAATAGATAAATATACAACATATTTGTAATTTTTTTCGGATCTGATGTACCTCACCAGTTATTAGTTGCAGTAAAGGATAGTAATAAATAACACGTCCTGTTTGTTATGATACGAATACATATGATACACATCAGAGAGATGATTATTGATTGACGAAAACAAACATCAATATGATTATTTACACTACAGTGCGTCAATTTATTTTTTTTCATCCATAGGTCGCCTAGATAAACATAAGATAGTCTTCTTGTCTAGTATGTGTTCATACTCTGCATACGTTTGAATACAGAGAAACGTGTTGTTTAGGCGTGACTTTAGATTTTTATTTCTTTCGTGTGCATGACATTTATTCCCACCATAAGGCTATCATTCATTACTAGCTTGTTCCTACATATTCAAGGTTTTTCTTGCTATTATATATGTATAATCTAGCAGGTTTCGTTATATTTGATAGTGAAGCTTGGCGTCATAATCGTTGAGGTTTATTACGAGATATACCAAAATTATACAGGTAAGCGCTTGATAGCAGAACTGCAGCTGTGAAAGTTAGAAACCGATACACGATAGACTTTGCGGAATGAAGACGGCTTATTTTTGTTATATCTTTACTCCATTATTTTAGTGTAGGTCGTTTTGCATAAGAAAATATTGATTTTGCTATAAGAATGGTGATAAATCGATTTCAATTTTTGCGGGTGGTGTTTTTATTAGTACTATGTGCTGGTGTTTCTCTGATAAATGTCAAAGGTCCTGTATTCCATAATGTTACATGGAAACAATCAAATAATCCTTACAATGTCGTTGGCGACTTTCAAATACCGATTGGTGTAACATTAACAATAAAAGCAGGTACAAGAGTTGTTTTCAATATGGATTTTCGATTATTGATTGTAGGCAAATTGAAAATAGAAGGTAGTTTAAAAAACCCAGTCAAGTTTTTTGGAAATGTGACCAATGGTGGACCAATGATTGTATTTCAGAGTACAAATTTGTCAGAAAGTTCTATATCATATTGTAACTTTTATGGCCCGAAACCAGCTTTGCAGATAAATCAAGGAGATCCAGCTACTGGAACACTCAATGCCAATTTCATTTTCATAAATAATTCTGCGATATCTAACTATTATGGTGGGCAATCATCTATTGCAATCTCTGTTAATAATTCAGTTCTATTACAAAGTGATGTTACTAGAGGGTTGATACTAATTACTAATAGTGACATTACATCAAGTACTATCGATCAAAATGCTATATGTAATCTTACTAACTGTAAAATTAAGTCAAGTACTATTAGTAATGGTTATTCTGGATTTAATGAAGCTAGTACGGTGATATGGAAAAGTATTCTTACACAGTGTACAGTGAACGTACAGCAAAATACTATTGTAATAGAAGAATCAAACCTTACTGATGTATTCGTTGGAGGCGATGGTGCGTTCATACTCAGAAAATCTTCTGCAAATGGATTAACAATTAGCTTTGCATGGTCACACGTTGAACTAACTTCATGCAAGATTATTAATAAGAAAAATGAAACCATGGTAATGGGGTGGGTCAATGTCTCTTGTTGTGACATACAAGGAAATAAACAAAATACAGGAATCATAGTTAATGGGCTTCTCTTCAACTTGGATGATACCCAAACGATAGTTAATTCATCATTTTATAATTTTGCAATAGGAATTCAAGTGAGTGCCAGTGAAGGTCCTATAACTATTGCCAATAATAATCTGTATCAGAATTCCAAATACAATCTATATAATAAATATGGTTATAATATTGTTGCAACTAATAACTGGTGGGGCACATCAAATCCAAACAAAATTAAAAAGAAAATTTATGATTATTATGAAGATATTTTAACTGGAAAAGTTTTATTCAATCCTTTCTTACAAAATAAGAATCCAAATGTAAAATGTCTACAGTGAAAACGAATAATTGTGATTCATTAATACGCTGATAGAAGAAAACACTAAAGTCGCCGAGCAGATGCTCTATTTTAAACAATTTGTCGTTTATTTGTTTATTTATTTCACTTTGTTTGACCTTTCTTATTGTCTAGCTTTCGGTTTTCTCTGTTTTGTTTCATTGTAAACTAACACTCCAATAAATTTATTTTCGAAAAAGTGATTTTTAACTTTTTAAAATATTCTTTTAAGGAAGGAAAACTGAAAAAATTCGCAGAGTCCAAAATTACGAAAAATCCTTCTATTTCAAACACATTCAAACATTTTTCTTTTCCGTTCTTGTAACTTTTCGAAAGTACTTTTTTCGGATTCAGCATTAAAACCTGAGTATGAAAATCATGCTTAATCGAGGTCGAAGTCAAAAGTCTATCAAGTAAACTATGTGTTTTTCTACGTAATAGCTTTAGAATTAGGTTCTGATTATTTTGTAGTTGTCAGATTTTTCAAATTCGAACTTTCTGTTACATTTCTGAGAATCCTCTGGTTTCGTTCGATTTTCATAAAGATCAGAAGTCCATTTTTTTCTAAAAATTTCTAAGATAAAATTGAATTTTATTAGGGATATTGAACGATGCTCAAATGTGAGAAGTTCCAAGAGCAAAGGTTTCGTGTAAAAATATACCAACAGATATAACCGGCAATTTATTAATTGTCAAATACTTCAAGTCAAACTTATCGATAAGTACGCAGTAATTTTAGTTGCCCATTACTCGCTCAGTTATGTAAATCTTTCCTACTTCCAATCGTCACTACTGAACTAGCTTGAATGTAATTCTTCAGTGACCATGTTCTTTTCTCAGGAACAACTTGCATCTCAGATTAGTTAAGTTCTCTTCATATCGCGTTATTCACTTACAGTTCGGTAAGTAATTCGGACGTGTTCTCAAAATGAAAGTCAACATATTATGTGATGCCATGAGTAGTGTCTACGAACCACTTTCTTCGTTCCCGTAATGCTTTCGAAATTCATATTCCTCTTTCATTTTTCGCGCATGTGAAAAGTATTCCTATCATCCACTAGCTTCTCGCGACATCACACATTGCGCAACTTGTGATATGACATTAAATAAAAAATAAAATTATGATTGGGGCTACTTTTCGCTAATCATATAACTGAGTTTATTACTAGAAGCATTAGAAGCACCGTTTTTTTCGGGTTATCACATATGCTATGAGACACTCCAAACTATGGATCTTTTTTTATTGTTTAGAATAAAATTCTTAAATAACAAATAACTGTTAGGATTAAAATATTCAGTAGATTCCTTTCCATTTTGTATGTAACTATCGAAGACACCACCAACATGGTATGGAATCCGAAAGTGGTTGAAAAAAAGACGCTGACATCCTTGACAACCCTTTCATGCTATCATTTCACTGTGTCAACAGCTTTTTTTTCTGTGGAAGTATCCCAAAGATATTTTACACTTTTTTACAAGACCCATCTTTCATTCTGACAATAATATTTATTTC